CGCGATATAGTGGGGGATCACTGTATAACACTGGGAAAAATGGTCATAATGGCTTCACTGAGACTTTCTGCTGTCAAACTGATGAGGACAAAGGTGCTGATACCTGAGAACTTCATTGTAGATTTCCACTGAGCTGACGTTGACAGAGTAGGTCCACATGTCCTTCTTGTCCTCCATCTCACTGAAGAGATGCTTCAGAGCACGCTGGTTGATACCTGGATTCTCCACGGTGCCCTGAAAATGGTCCAACATGCTCTCCATTCATCTTTTCATCGATATGACATACATCAGCAGGGTAAGTCGATCTGCCTGGGCTGAGTCGAACAGTATTATGTGTTGGATTGTATCACAGACCATGGACGGTATCATTGTTTCAAGTTTTGCTGGAGGTCTCTATCTCAAGATTTGGTACTAGACAAACAACAACCTACCACACCACCCATTTAGGCTGATAAGTAAGCTCCCTTATTTTATCATGGCCGGGGGGAGGGGATGAGTACACAGCCCCAGGAAAGTTCGGCAGGCTCCTTCACCTCACCTCCATGGTGTATGTTTTCCCAGATCCTGTCTGTCCATAAGCAAAGATGCAGACATGATATCCGTCAATGCAGGAGGTCACGAGGGGTTCGATCTCCTGGAAAACCTGAAACACAAACTCCAGTCAGTCGCCAGAACCTCTTGCGCCTCATTACGGCTTTTGCCAGAGGCAGACAGAGCTGTGGGCTGGTCTGATCTGTCATACAGGAAGGTGCTGCTGGATCAGCTACAGATCTCAGATTTGGGTACCTCTTCCTGAGTAGCCTGAGGCTGGAACACCTTGTCCAGTTCAAACGTGCGGCTCTTCCCCTTCTGCAGCACGATGATGGCCGACTCATTGTCAGGGTCTGTTGTCACGACGACCGCCTGCCCGTCCCCTTGCTGGTCCTCCCTCAGGACGGGCTTCACGCGGCACAGCACGCGGATATTCCCTGAACGCACGGCATAGCAGCTATGTCAGCCTTGGAGACATTTTGATGGGCTCGCCCCGCTAAGTCAGCACAGGGCTTATTTCTGCACATACTTCATACCGTGTCGTGACTTTAGCAGAGGCGACCACCTCTCCCTTTACCTTTAAGCTCCAGCAGCTGCTCGTGGTACTTCCTCCTCAGCGCCACCTCCTTTCTGTACTTCTCCAGCAGGTCCTTGTTGGCCTCCGACATCTCACTGATGACCACAGAAAGCTGAAGGGGAAGAGTTACTAAGCATGTTATCAACTGTTAGTGACATAGCAGTGCCAGATTCACCGTTTTGGCTCAAAGACTTTAAAAAGAACGACGGCTGTAGCAGGCAGAGCGGAGAGAGAAGTTTCTCCCACCTGTTTCTTGGCCTCCGCCACAGCAGCCCCGTAGAAATCTGAGAAGTTGCGGACTTGGCTGCGCAGGCTGGCGTAGTCCGTCTTCACGGAGCGCAGGGTCGGGGGGAGAGCGGCCAGACGCTTCTGCAGGCCTGTCGGGTGACAGAGGAACCAAGTGCAGGATTCAGACAGTCAGAGCCCCATCTATGGGTATAAATTATGGGGGGTGTAACCCCCACAGCCAATATAAGCCCCCGGACCCCCTTAAATGTTATGTCCTTGCCCTCATCACTACCACCTCCACCTTTCTGAATACTTTCATTTTATTTATGTTTTTTTGTTTATTTTGATGGGACAAGATTATTTTATATTTATTTTCCACTGTGGGATATGAATTTCCTATCATGATTGGGCTTCTTATGCCTTTGGACAAGTGGTCGAGGACATGATGATGTGTCAGTGAAATTCCTCAGAATGTGCAGAGGTTCACTGCTGAATGTGATGTACCTTTCAGAGAACACCATGGTGACTCTTGCTCAGCTGTTGTCTTTGACACCTGGCCTCCATGACCCCTGTGTTACCCCACCATGGCCATGCCTTTTCCCCGAGGAAAACGACTCACTCGTTCTTGCTCAGCTGTTGTCTTCTACACCTGGCCTCCATGGCTGCCAGCACAACCGCTACATGCCCCCTGCATGACCCCGCTATGACCCTTGCATGACCCCGCTAAGACCCCACCATGCCCCCTGCATGACCCCGCTATGATCCCACCATGCCCCCTGCATGACCCCGCTATGACCCCACCATGCCCCCTGCATGACCCCGCTATGACCCCTGCATGACCCCGCTATGACCCCACCATGCCCCCTGCATGATTCCCAGGAGGGCGACTCACCCATGAACTGCTGTCGCAGGCTCTGCAGCTGCTGCTCGGAGCACTCAGCAGCCGCTCTCACCGCCTCTTCCTTACGCTCCTCCAGGTGGCCGATCTCCTTCAGCAGCTCCCTCCGCAGCTTCTCTATCTCCACCTCATAGGCTGCAATCTGCGCGATCACACAAGGACACAAGGTGGCGGCCTCCATTAAACCCGCCGGGCTGATCTGCAGCCACGCCTGCTATGCTGGTGAGATGCCCGGGTGACCTTCTGCTGGAGACCGGCAGTCTCCACGTCGGAGAGCCTGAGCCGCTTCTCCAGCTGCCGGCACGTCTCGCTCTGAGTGGACAGCTTGTCTGACAGTAGCTCGTTCCTCTCCCTGGCCTCGGCCAGCTGCCTCTGTGTCGCTGGGGACTCTACCTCCATGGTCCGGGTGACATACTGCAAGGGAGAGGAACATGATGGTCTCAGCTATGTTCCTCTATTACAAAACGGGCTGAGATCCTGGCTTCTGTTTCTGTTATAGGCCCTTGGGCCCTGTCAAAATGACAAGAAGGTTCATAAGAAGCCAGGTTTTTTTATGGTAGCTAAGAAATTTCCTCCAGACATCCTGGTCTAAATCTCCGTTCTCCAATTGGCAGGTTACTGAACTTCAGGGAAGCTCACTCAAGCATACAGTAGAGTCTTCTCAGACTTCAACCTGACTGACACTCAGTGGAGCACTGGGGGTGGCTGGGGGGGAACTAGGCTCAGTTCTCCACCTTGACCGTGGGCTCCTTGCCCCGCTCCTTGTCCAGCTCCAGCTGCAGCTCCCTGAGCCTCTCCTCACGCCTCCTGAGCTCCTCGCATCGCTGCCACTCGGACTGCTCACTGTGGCGCTCCAGGCGGGAGAGCTGCTCCCCCCGCTGGTGCAGGGAACTCTCCAGCTGCTGCACACGGCTCCTCAGAGTCTCGTTCTCCTGCACGTGGGGGGGGGAGGTCATTACCGGTTACCAGGGACAAGGTTCCTCTAAGCGTTTGGAAACTGAGCTCTTTGCTCTATTATTTAAACATGAATTAAACATTAATTTCAAGGTTACAGTAGAAGGTCCCCAACAGAGGTGGAAAGTTCAGGTCCAGAAAGTACAGATGCAGACCAAGGTTTTGTTTCAACCAACCAGTTGAGTACTCTGTGACTGTGACTCTTTATACTCTACTGTTTGGCTGAAACAAAACCTCGGTCTGGACTTTCTGGACCTGAACTCTCTACCTCTGGTCACCACTAATCTCTGGGATGAGGGCGCTCTGCTGGCCCAGCCTCACCTTGAGGAGCATGGAGCTTGACTGGGCCGGGAGGACCGACAACTGCTGCAGGAGACCCTGAGTCACGGTCAGGCTCTGCTTCAGGCTCTCGTTCTCGGCCGTCAGGCAGACGACCCGCTTCTCCGAGTCCGTCACACCCTGAGGGGAAGCGATGCTGGGCTCCAAAAGACTCTACCAACCCAACCTCAGGGCATCAATATGGGCATGGGAGCAGATTTGGCTATGTTCAGGAAGACACGTTCCCCTTACTTCTTAGGTCAGGGGTGTCGAACTCCAGTCCTGGAGGGCCGGAGTCCTGTATAGCTTAGTTCTTTCCCTGTTCCACCACAAATGATTCAGCTCAAGTGTTGTGTGGTAATTAGCACAAAGAGTTGAATCAGGTGTGTTAAATGAGGGGAAACCCAAAAATGTGCAGGGCTCCGGCCCCCCAGGACTGGAGTTTGACACCCGAGGCTTAAGTTACAGCACCCTGATAATCACGTGATCAGCATTTCACACCCCTGGCCAAACAGGATTGGTCAACAGTTAAACAGGATTCCTTTAATAGAACTGTACGAGTACAATGATATGTATTTTTGCCCATGGTGATGTCATTTGCCTTAACGGTGATGACTTGTTGCTGTGGTGAACTCACAGACTCCGCCCTCAGTCTGGAGAGCTCCTCCTCCCTCTCCTCAATGCACTTCTTCAGCTCTTCGATCTGGGAAAATCGGGGACACCCATGACATTTATATCACTGGTCACTGGAAAGTCCTGAAAGCCCAAGCCCAGGAGAGGTGGCCCTCCCACTCGCCTGCTGCTGGCAGGCCTGCCCCCGCGCGTGCCGCTCCTGCTCGCTCTGCTCCAGCTGACAGTGCAGTGAGTGCAGCTCACCGCACATCCGGCTCCTCTCGCCTTGCAGGCCGCAAAGAGACTCCACCAGCCTGTGCAGCCCAGCCTGGAACCCAGGCTCTGGGCCGTACTCCCCTGCTGCACAGAAACACCGTTAGCATTTAGCTACTTATTGTACACCTTCATCCAAAGCTACCCTCCCTCATTTAGACACTTGGATATTAGTCACTGAAGCATCTCCCATTGGAGAGCCCCCCCCCCCCTCGCTAGAAGCCCTCCCTGGAAGCCACCATTTGCCCTAATATAACAGCATAGATGCCCCCATTCACTAATATCGACATAAGAAAACATCACTGTAGGGTTAATATTAGAAAGAAATTCATGCCATGCTAAAAATTCATACGGATGGCGAGAGAACGACCCCTAAGGGACTGAGCGCAGATTCGCTGCCCACAGTCAGTCTGCTTTCTGATCTGCGTGGGCAGCTTGCTGTGCTCATTCCAGTTTGAACTGGAATCTCATACATATTTCTTAATATAGCCCATATGCTCAGTCACGTAAGTAGGACTGACGCAGCCTCTGGTAACAGCAGGTTGTTAATAATTAATACAGGCCGCTGGTGGTGTTTATTTATGGCGTAGTTACAGGCCAGCAGTGTTCCCAGAAGACTGACTCTGCTCCTGTGCGCATCACCAGTGCCGGCCGAAGCCCACGTGATGACACAGGGTGGGCCGCCCACCTCCACCCGGCTAACATCACCGCTCATGTTCACGTTGGGTATTTCTCAATATCTGTACTTGACCATACCTGTCTTCTTGCGTACCTGTATTACATCATCTCCCAGTGCCGAAGAGCAGCTCCACTACTAAGAACAGGAGTACAGAGGATGGTAAAAACCCCCAAATGTCAAGGATACATCAGTTGCATCCTTGCCAAACGAGACCAATCCCATGATTCACTGCGGCCCAAGATCGTTCTTGGGAGGGAAGTTAGCAAGACCAGTCTTGCCAAGACCACAAGGATGATCTTTGTGTTCTTGGTGTTGAGAAACACCCGTCGTCTCAGACAGTGTGATCTACGTACTCAATGGATTGGGTGGGGCGGGGGGGTCACTAGGGGTGAGACCTGCCAGTTGTTGGCAGTGGCGGTTTGCTCAGGCGTCGCCCCCCCAGGCCTGGGTTGACTGGCCCTGTTTATCTTCCAGGGCTTTGCTCTTTCCGCCTTTTCTTATTAAAAGCTGTTTCACACAAAGAAAACGCAAAAACCAGTATGAAGGTGTTTTTTCTACCTAAAATGTTAGCGTCTACCTCTAAAACTGTAGTTTGTAATACATTATAAAAAACACCCCTTAAAATGTTTAAAGTTTTGCGCAGAGTTTTTGTGCCTAATTGGCTAAATTGCTTAACAGCACAAGAGAAAAATAATTTTGATTCTTTTAACTCATCCACAGAATTTTAAGGCTCGGGTCCAATTTTCAAAGTTTCATTTTTAAGTGCAAATGAATCTCTTTTTAAATAATATGAATCTGTAGTTGTGGGCAACCACATTGTCTACATGGATTTATTACTGCATCATGCCCTGCTGACCTGAGTCAGGATGTTAACAGTATATTAAGAGGGAAACAGCTTTCTCAAACCATTAATATTAATGCTGATGACTGAACATCAGCATATTTCTGTTTATGATTCATAAGCATCTGTGCACTAATAGAATTTTCACACTACAATTAACACCATACCCCAGTGGTGTCAAACTCAGTCACTGGCAGATTGGCTGGGCAGGGGGCGACATAGGCAGGCAGGGGTGTGATATAGGCAAGCAGGGGGCGACATAGGCAGGCAGGGGTGTGATATAGGCAAGCAGGGGGCGACATAGGCAGGCAGGGGGTGACAGATATGCAAGGGCGTGACATAGGCAGGTAGAGGGGTGATAGGTGGGCAGGGGGACAAAGGCGGGCAAGGGGACGATATAGGCAAGTAAGGGATGACATAGGCGGGCAAGGGGATGATATAGGCAAGTAAGGGGAGACAAAGGCGGGCAAGGGGATGATATAGGCAAGTAAGGGGAGACAAAGGCGGGCAAGGGGAT